GTTAAAAGCCAAATTTAAAAAAAAAGACTAAAATTATTATTATTTACATTCGTAAAGACTGCCCGATGACAGCCGGCATAGGCTCCGGTGCGCTCGTGACCCTCGGGAGGAGTACCGGATTATAAAAAAGATGGATGAAGAACTATTTTATTTCATTTTTAGAGTGAGCAAATGTATTCCTTTATATGGGAAAACTTTATGTTTGTAAAAGTTGCAGGTCTAGGTAAGTAATACAAAAACAAAAATACTCAAAATGGATTTGGAAAAGAGTTTTTGAAATTCATAAATTGAAAAAGACACATCTTGAATCACCATTATTCTCAATTTCCCAATCAACACCTTAACAAATTGTTTTTTTTTTTAAACATGTAAATTTTAATGGATTTTTATGTATAATGTTAAAAACACAAAGAATGATTGAACAAAGTCAGCCAAGCTCTTTCATCATGAGTCCTCAGTCTGAAAACGTTTTACGTGTGTAAATGCTGTCAAATCTCCCTCCTGCGACTCAGACATTTCTAGTCTTGCTATAGCTGTCCTTTTGCTCTGTCATAGAGAACATGCATTGAGCAGCTCAAACACTCACAGTAGACGTGACTGTGTTACACTACCTTGTGATATCCTAAAGTCGCATACTTGTGGTGCCGGTGCCACTTTGCTTTAAAGATATCCTTATCACTTGTTTTGGAAATCTTGGTTGTTCTTGTTGTTGATGATGATGATGATGATGATAAATGTTTTCTTTACGGGAGTGGTTATCAAGTTGTATTCACAATACATTCCTCCCTATTGGAAAACATGAGATCACTTTGTGACTGAGAAGACTGTGATTTGGATCGGATTCTTATTTGTCTGAATACATTTTGACATGGACGTTTTTTTCCTATTAGTCTTATCCAACCAGTTGGATAGTCAGCGATTATAGCTTATTGTTTTCAAAAACATTAAGCGCATTAAAAGTCGGAGCCAGCATGTTCAGAATGAAGCCCAAATAAACTTGTACGTTTGACACCGCCAGCAGCGCTGTGTTGGCAATCACCCTCCTAACATCTAACCTGATGCCAGAAGATCAGAGATCAGAATCATAATAATGATGATAATATTGGGGCGGGGGGATTAAATATCCCTTATCAATTTTTTTAACAACCATCTTATTAGACCGTCACTAGGCCTAAAAATATATAAATAACATAAAAAAGAAGGATTTGCCAAGATGTTGCTCAAGCAAACAAAAAGGAATCATGATGAATGTCGATTTTTTTTCAGGTTTTTGTGTGTGTGTGTGTGTGTGTGTGTGACGTTTTGGCTGCAGTCCGTGTCACCTGCAGTCATTTTTCCCCGAGTTGAGTGGGCGTGTAGCAACCACAAAGTGGGCCCGTACTTGAATGAGTCGCGATACTACGTCAAAAGAGCGCAGAATTAAAATCTGCTTGTTTCTATGCGATTTTACCATTCAAAGGTTACATTGATATATCTTTAAACCATACAACAAATTGGATTATGATTGAAGGACCCTTTCAAGGATTGGCAGGTTTGAATCTGCTTGTATAGGAAGCGCGTTATTCTTCATATTGTTTTTCTCGACACTTTTTGTCTGTTTTATTCATGGTGAGAATGAGATTCACATGAGAACATCAGTGAGCTGAAATACTAGCGTGAAAAAACATACGTGTTGCCGTGATGTATCAAATCCAAATTTTGCAAAACCCTGCACTAATTGTATAATACTAACATACTTGCTGTTGCTTCTGGTGGCTTAATATGAACTTCTAATGTGAAGCTCTTTAAAGGCTTAATGCATGCCATTAAGCATTCTACTTAAGTATTAATCATTTAACACGTGAAAAGGAGAATAATGTTGCAAATGATAATTCACACCCTGTTCTCCAGTCTTGGTATTAATGATAGTTTCGTTGCACTGCTGAAAACAACTATTTTTTTTTGTTGGGGGGGGGGTTCCCCCAAAAGCCATTAAAGCGCAATTTTATGCATTTAAATGGTCAAACCTGTGCGCATCATGTGTAAATGTTGTGCTTATCCACCCAGAGTGGACATTGAGATTGATAGCTGCTTTCAGTAAATCTAGCTGACAGAAGCCTGTGATGGTGGTTGCACTGAGCATGTAATGTCCTGCTTCGGGCAGACACTCACTGATGCAGCTTACTCAACCGGACAGAAACACAGGATGTTTTTTTTTAATTTTAATGCTGGATCCAAAACTAAAGCATTTGGCTCGTAGCCCAGCTGCATAGCAAAATGGCATTGTGCCCAGTCAGTAGTCATTCAGTATATCATTTTGACTTTGATACAACAGTAACATCGACTAAAAAGAATCAAGCCAATACTTGCTGTGATTGCACTGCAATCAGCCACTGGGCCTCAAGTGTGAAGGTGAGACACCAACGGTGAAACGTCCTTCACTGGCATATACTAAGGTTTTTTTTGTTTGTTTGTTTTTTTTGGGGGGGGGGGAATTAAGAGCTCTTTTCTAAACCGAGTTAAAAGCCAAATTTAAAAAAAAAAGACTAAAATTATTATTATTTACATTCGTAAAGACTGCCCGATGACAGCCGGCATAGGCTCCGGTGCGCTCGTGACCCTCGGGAGGAGAACCGGATTATAAAAAAGATGGATGAAGAACTATTTTATTTCATTTTTAGAGTGAGCAAATGTATTCCTTTATATGGGAAAACTTTATGTTTGTAAAAGTTGCAGGTCTAGGTAAGTAATACAAAAACAAAAATACTCAAAATGGATTTGGAAAAGAGTTTTTGAAATTCATAAATTGAAAAAGACACATCTTGAATCACCATTATTCTCAATTTCCCAATCAACACCTTAACAAATTGTTTTTTTTTTT